TATTATGTGCATAATAGCGTTTAAAAGGTCAAACTCACGGCCATCATGTCATGTAATATAGCATGTTCCAGTGCCAAATGAACAGGGAGGCCTGCACTCTCTACTTCAAAGCAAAGCAGCAGTGTTAAGTTACCTGAGGAACACAGGATCATTTCAAGTCCAGGAGACTGCTTGTCAAAGTTTGTGTCAGTCACTTGGTGGAGAAGGGTGAATTGTAAGTATATAAATTCAAAAACATATTCGACCACTCTGAATTTTACTCAGTGGTGTTTGCCCTGTCAGATAAGTGTTTTAATATTGTACATGCTCTGTTTTCAGTTAACTTTATCCATCAAGTGCTGAAAAGCTTGTTTTTGTCACTACTTTCACATCTTTGCCGGGTCGGATTAAAGGAAAAGGAGATGGATTTGTAAGTAATATGTAATTAATGTCAAAAACAGCCAAATGTGTTTTTTTTTGTTTTGCACACTGGGTAGGAACATTAATATCGCAAGCTATTTATTCTACTTTTCGAAACCATGCTTAAGGAAGATTTAAAAGAACATTACCTCCTCACACTTAGTCCAGTTAAAGAACATCCTGTAATTCCTATCTGTTCTCTTACCCGAATTTTGCTCAGCTTTCGCTGAATCTTCTGTTGGACTTTATCAGCCCAGTATTTCTCATGGAGGAAGTCCCAAAAGATCCGACCAATTAGTGCATTCAGCCAGTCAGGTTTTGTTTCATCCTCATGACAACAAAAGGTCTGTTCCAAAAGGGGTGATGGAAGAAAAACTTTGGAGTAATGAAGATACATTGTCATTTTCTGCAATGGGGGGGTAAGCTGTGTCACTTAAATTGTCCTCTAAACAAGGAGAAATGTAAACATTTTGGTTGTTGCATTCCTTGACTGTTGTCAGTTGGCCTTTAAATTTCTCATGATAAACTAACTTACAGTTTACTACATCATCTGAATCTTTGATGGATATTAGAAATTAATTAAAAGGTATATTGTTGAGATCAATACTTTGTTCTTCAATTCTTTGTATCTTTTATTAAATCAGCAGTGGAGATGAAGATCAGGCATAGGTCGTGGCTATCGAAGGGGACTTCTACCATCTGAGTACCCATGCTTCTTGAATATGCCAAGTGTGGTAGGTCTCATTGCAGTTCAGTCTTTACTTATTTTCTTCCGTTACTTAAAAGGGATAGTTCAACCAAAAATAAAAATTCTGTCATTTACTTCCCTTCATGTTGTTCCAAACCTGTACGAGTGTTTCTTCTGCTGAACACAAATGGAGATATTCTAAAGAACGTTGCTAATCAGACAGTTGACGGTAGCCACTGACTTCCATAGTATTTTTTTTTCTTTGCAACTATGGAAGTCAAAGGCTACCGTATATATAAAAATATATTTTATGCTCAGCAGAAGAAAGAAACAGGTTTGTAACAACATGAGGGGGAGTAACAACAACAGTAACAATAACATCATTTTCATTTTTTGGTGAAATATCCCTTTTAAGATATTTTAACAGACAATGCAAAAGTTCTGATATTGTTAGTAACACTGTTTTTTAATATAAATATATATAGAAAGATTGAGAAATTGAAAGCTGAAGCTACCATGGAAAGGAATGACTGTGCATCTCTTATAGAGGGGATGGAAGATCAAGCAAATGGTATGTATGTGTGAACTCTTTACTTACATCTTTTGTGTATAATTTATTATAACAAATATTCATTAATATATGACTTGACCTGAAGAAGGACAGATGCAGGTAATTGCACATGTTGATCTCTGACTGTTTAGGTTTCTTTAGTGCAGATCTATGGAGCCGCTGTAAATAATCACAATGGTACACAAAGTCTTAAAGAAAAAATTAACTCATTTAACATTAAAAACGCATGTATTTAGTGTAAAATGAGAAGGGCTTAACCTTAAAGAAAATGATTTGCCATCCTAGGCAGCTGGCTTGTCAGTATTGTGGTATTGCAATATTGTGATTATCACAACAACCCTACTTGGGCTGCTCTTAATCCTGCACTTAAACATTTATTGTATTTCTAATCTGTTTTCATTCATTTTCAGATGAAAAGTGCTACCCAATGCTGGTTGTTCTGGCATATCTTCTGCCACCGTTGCCTGGAAGTCGCTGCAGTGTTAAATATGAAATTTCATTCCTTCCAATTTCCATTTCGGTATGTTTTACATGGACAGTTATTCTTTTAATGATGTCTTGATGCTTTCTAAACACCTGAAATGTATTTGTTTTTAAGCCTGGAGCCATATTGCATCCCTCTGCAGCAGTTTTGAGACCGCATCAAAGACCAGACCACAGCCAGTCTACATTGAGAGTTTGAAGAGCACAACATGACAATACATCATTGCGACGATTGACAAAATGACAATTTCTTGTATGATTTTCAATCATCCAAGGTGTAGTTGATGTTGGTAACACTGTTTAATGTATACTGTATTGTAGCTAATAGTTGTGCAGTACAAGGCATTTGTATCATCTAAATTAAATTTATGAAATTGAGATTTAGAACATTTTGTTGTGCCTCTGTGCATGCATTGTTCTCTACCCTGAACATTTTTGAGAAATTAAATTGCTAACATTTTTACATCTGTGTTTTATTTCAATTTTGTAGAATTACAAATTGATGGCAATGCTTATTTTTGTCATATTAACACATTAATTAGCAGTTTCTGATAATTTTCAGTTGCACACAAATGTGTTTAAATGACACGTGTGTTAAATTACATTACACAGTAGATGTGTGATCCATCTTTACACACAAATTGTGTTAAATTTGACATTGAAATTTTAACATGTGTTGTCCCTGAGCACACTCACCACATGTGTCATTTTTGACATCTCTTTTTGCAGTGAATAACCAACAATACGTTGCGTGGGTCAAAATTAGTGATTTTTCTTTTATGCCAAAAATCATTAGGATATTAAGTTCAGATTATGTTCCATGAATATATTTCGTAAATTGCCTACCATAAATATATCAAAAATTAATTTTTGATTAGTAATATGCATTGCTAAGAACCTTTAAAGGTGATTTTCTCCATATTTGGATTTTTCTTTTTTTTGCACCCTCAGATTTTCAAATAGTTGTATCTCAACCAAATATTGTCCTATCCTAACAAACCATACATCAATGGAAAGCTTATTTATTAGTGATGTATAAATTTCAATTTCAAAAACTTGACCCTTATGGCTGGTTTTGTGATCCAGGGTCACAAAAGATGAATTATGCCTATCAACTACAGTTGTGTCTCTTGTTAAAGCAATATGTACATTTGAATTAAAAATCAGCTAATTCATTAGCCCTGATGTCAAGACCTAAAAGTACTCGATGAGCACAGGCCTGATTATCCACAGAAACCAGCGGGGAGCTTTGCTCGCTCCCACGAGCTACAGGAGCATCACGTGACCCGAAACCAACCAATCGTTGATAAAGTAAGTACAGGAAAGCGCGTTCCCGTCGGCAGCTGTGTTGCTCTAGTCTAGTGTGGAGAGCGCATCTTGTGTTCAGTATATTTCCATAATACAGACCAACAGTCACCTGCAAAAATGTCCGAAGACAAGCCTAAGGTGAGCATCCGATTTGTAATTTTGCCGTATTTTGAGGCGTTGCTCAAAACGAGCCGCGTGAGGCCGAGTTCCAGTTTCATTTTCAGTCAGATTGCGCATATATGCGGGAGAAAGGCGGTCGGCACGCAAGCTTTGTCTTGTTTTCATACAAACGCCATCCGTTTTCAATTTTCTGGCTTGTGTTTTTATTAAAGCGTGTTTTAAATGGTCAGTCGAAGAACGCTATCATTTTGTACGCACCGCGCGTTTTTCCCGGTGTAATTCAGCGTTTGCGGGGTTTTCTTTGTGAGAGCGGAGTGGCGCTGACCGGCCACGTTACGCCACTAGCGTAAGAAAATGCCGCAAGAACCGCGAAACGGAATATAAAAGAGTGTCTCAGCACTCAAGTGTCGTCCGCCATTTGGTTGATAAATGAACGGATACCGTGTATTTTCCACGCTAGGTGAAAAGTATTCACCTAAGAAGTTTGATTTGATTAATCCGTCGGTTACGGTATTGAGTTCCGACTTGCACCTCGCTGCGCCAGATGCTTAAAAATGGCGCACAGAGCTGCAACAATGTTTGACTAGACGGCTAACATTTGCTGCCGTATTTGCATGTCTGTTTTTGTACGTCTCGTTCGCTTCACTGCTGCTGTTACTATTGAATAGTTGGATGTTCTGAACATTGTTATAAAATGTTAAATGTTTTTAACCCCCCTCAATTCACTTAGTTCTTAAAAGCTTAGCATCCACTACTAGGCCTTGTCCGCTGCTTAAGTTATAGCCCTCCAAGGGCAAGCAGGATTGTGCTTCATGCATCTCATATGTGTACATTTTGCACTTTGATCTTCGCTGTCTTCTCATGCATGCACTTTATTTTTCAGGAGGGAGTGAAAACAGAGAACGACCACATCAATCTGAAGGTAGCGGGGCAGGATGGCTCGGTGGTCCAGTTCAAAATTAAAAGGCACACGCCACTCAGCAAATTAATGAAAGCGTACTGTGAGAGACAGGTAAGGCAATTCCACTAGATCAGGGGTGCCCAAACTCGGTCCTGGAGGGCCGGTGTCCTGAAGAGTTTAGCTCCAACCCCAATTAAACACACCTGAAGCAGCTAATCAAGCACTTATAGGCATACTAGAAACTTGAAGGCAGGTGTGTTGAGGCAAGTTGGAGCTAAACTCTGCCGGACACCGGCCCTCCAGGACCGAGTTTGGACACCCCTGCACTTGATCAATAATCGTGCTCATGGAACCGTGTGTGGGCCGTCCATGCGAGTCACTGTGATTTTGGAACACAAAATGCTCATAGAGCTCCATATTTATTTAAAGTATTATTAAAATTCTATAATATATCCAGTTCCAAGACTGATGTAAATATTGCTTTTATTTCAGGGTTTGTCGATAAGACAGATTAGATTTAGATTTGACGGGCAACCGATTAATGAGACAGACACACCGGCGCAGGTGAGTAAAAGTGCCCCTTTTTTGTGACAATTTCGTGTTATTGTAGTGCTATTTGAATACTAATATAGTATTAATATGGTGTGTGGGCTTTTATGTTGGTTTTTGCTTTTCATTTTAGTTTCAGTAATTGTGTTTTTGTCAATTTATTAGGGTTTTTTTCTGTTTTAGTAATTTTAGTCCTTTAAACAATTGAGAAATGTTGCCTTTGCAGCTAACTAAAAATGTATTTATTCTATTTATTTAGTTTTTTTTGTGTGACCAAAAGATGATTGAATAATAAATATAATTTTGATAACCTAATTGGGTAACACTTTACAGTAAGGTTCCATTTGTAACATTAGTTATTAACTAACAATGTAAATTGTTAACTTTTATTAATCTTAATGTTAATTTCAACATTTACCGTTGCATTAAAAATGTAAAGTTGTATCTGCTTATATTAAATAAAGCTTCCCAAGACACAAACTATCAATAAACTGTAATATTTTATTAACTAATATTAAAAAAAGGATTAAAAATACTGTAATGTATTTTTTGTTGTTAGTTAATGTATTACCTAATGTTAACTTTGCATTTGTTAGTTGGAGATGGAGGACGAGGACACGATTGACGTATTTCAGCAGCAAACTGGTGGCTCCTGCTAGAACTCCACACCACCTGGGCCCCACACTTATCTATTTTATTCCTCATGATGTTTCATTCAGATGCTTTCACATGGTTTCCCCTTCTCTTTCTCTCTTTGTCTCTTTTCTGTCATCTCTAGCTTTCATAGAGTGGGCATCGCAAATGTGTTTCTAGTAATATTTATATGCACAATGGTTAGACAGCTACTGTGGTGGGGGAACAAACTCAAGAAGGCGGCCAGAGGGCGTAGTTGTTCAGAATATCCACACCAGCCACCATGCAGGGTTTTATCTTGCTCCGAACACCGATTCACTCAAGCCCTAGGAACCGTTCACCCCCTCCATAGTATCTCTGCCCAATAAAAAGTGAGGAAGCATAGTTTTTCCCCCTTCACCTTTCAGTTCTTAAGAGCTTTAAGTAGGCCTGTTTCAACTCGGATTCTATTTGCCTGTATGTGTTGTAGAAATATGTTCAGCCAGTGTTGTATTCATCTGCCTTTTAATGGGGCCGCTTCTCGTATGAGCTCACTGTAGATACGATATGTGAACCATCTCGGTGGAGGTCAATTAAAAATGAAGAGACTGACTACATGATACAATTTACAGTGCCCCTTTCAGGACCAAACCCCAAAGATGGTACTCGATTAGCAAATAGGGGCAGGATTAGACCAACTAGTTCTGTGTTTATACTTTTAAATGTCTAGAAATATATCCATTTACCATTCCTATTTCCTCTTGAGTGTTGGTTGAGGAAACAGGAATGACCTAAAATACCAATATATCTTTTTCCTGTTCATTACTTTTCACCCTTTTTTTTTATTTTATTTTTTAAATCCCAAAACTATGACTAGGACTTAAAGCAAAACAAAGGGGAATCCTTTCAGGCTTTGAGGCGATGTATCTGTCATCGCTCACAAGGACTGGTCTGATTTCTTTTAACATCTCTTGCCCTCCCACAGTAATTCATATGGCTGAAAGGGAGAGAGTTTGACTCAAAGATTATCCAGATGTTGGCATCCTTCTGCACTGCTATGTAAAAAAAATTGTTGTCCTTTATTACTGTAAACAATAAATACAGTTTGGTACTTTTTTTTTTTTTTTTTTTGCTGAGGCTTTTCTTCATGTCTAAAGAGTTTTTTTTTTTTGATTAACAGCATGTTTTTCAGTTTGTCATCAAGTATGGAGTCTGTAGAAAAGCTTATAGAAGCACAAAGACGCATCCTTTAACGAATTGTCAAAAGTTTCTTTATACACAGTTATTACATGTATAAACACAAAACATGAGATGAAGTGTCAATAAAGATTAAATATAAAATATAAATAAAATCTGGAGTGTCACAAAGGCACTTGAATGTACATGTCACACATGTAGCTTTTTGCATTGTCTTACAAGACGAGATGCAGTGTCTTTTCATGTCCACTTTTAAGATTAAAATATATTTCTAAAAATCTACAGTAACAGTTACGGAGAACAAAATGCTTGTAAAACACTTTTCTTACACTGAAGTGCAAAACTGCTAAATAAAAATTTGCCTTCAGAATGGTGGTGAACAATATTTTCTTGCTGTTAAAACTATTTGATTGGTCAGCAGTAAAGAAGTCGTGTAAGATTACTAATTGTGTACTGGTTACATGTTCTTTCATCCAGCCATTATTGTCCCTTTTATTTGTTTACTTTGGCTGAAATGAACAAATACCACAACCTACTTGGGCAAATGTACTGTTT